TACCACGAGCCTCCAAGCAGTTAACTATACGTGTACAAGTCATGAATATACCGCTGTATGTCCGCTGGAATACAACAAGACTGCAACACTAACTTCATAGTATGAAATATTACATAAATGATTTTAACCGTATTTTATTTTATAAAAAGTAAAAAGAAAAGCTATCCCTGTAACAGGCCGTGAAGGCTCATTGGCTTGTGAGACGTTGAGGGTCCCACATTATCTAGACAATCAGCTCATAGATGGCGGTAAGGTTGTCAGCTATACGCGCCGGCCGCGCTTTACTCCCCAGGGAAATTATTTAATTAATTCCTGGTACTCATTTCTGTTAGAGGCTGAGTCGAACCCAGGGCCATAGTGCGGCTGGAAGGATTAGGTCAATTGAAAAAATCCAATGACCTCATCGGGACTGGAACTCGCGACCGTTCGGCTTGTAGCATAGCCCCTCAACCAACTACGCTACCGCGTACCCCATTTTGTTGTATAACTTTCGTTTTATAATAATTTCATAATTTTATTGTATTTCTATACCTTGTATTATTATAGTGTAACATAGTTGTCAAGTATCCAGCTCTCCTGTCACACTGAAATGCAGTTCAACAGTCTGTCAGTGCAGTGACCTTGTATTATTATAGTGTAACATAGTTGTCAAGTATCCAGCTCTCCTGTCACACTGAAATGCAGTTCAACAGTCTGTCAGTGCAGTGACCTTGTATTATTATAGTGTAACATAGTTGTCAAGTATCCAGCTCTCCTGTCACACTGAAATGCAGTTCAACAGTCTGTCAGTGCAGTGACCTTGTATTATTATAGTGTAACATAGTTGTCAAGTATCCAGCTCTCCTGTCACACTGAAATGCAGTTCAACAGTCTGTCAGTGCAGTGACCTTGTATTATTATAGTGTAACATAGTTGTCAAGTATCCAGCTCTCCTGTCACACTGAAATGCAGTTCAACAGTCTGTCAGTGCAGTGACCTTGTATTATTATAGTGTAACATAGTTGTCAAGTATCCAGCTCTCCTGTCACACTGAAATGCAGTTCAACAGTCTGTCAGTGCAGTGACCTTGTATTATTATAGTGTAACATAGTTGTCAAGTATCCAGCTCTCCTGTCACACTGAAATGCAGTTCAACAGTCTGTCAGTGCAGTGACCTTGTATTATTATAGTGTAACATAGTTGTCAAGTATCCAGCTCTCCTGTCACACTGAAATGCAGTTCAACAGTCTGTCAGTGCAGTGACCTTGTATTATTATAGTGTAACATAGTTGTCAAGTATCCAGCTCTCCTGTCACACTGAAATGCAGTTCAACAGTCTGTCAGTGCAGTGACCTTGTATTATTATAGTGTAACATAGTTGTCAAGTATCCAGCTCTCCTGTCACACTGAAATGCAGTTCAACAGTCTGTCAGTGCAGTGACCTTGTATTATTATAGTGTAACATAGTTGTCAAGTATCCAGCTCTCCTGTCACACTGAAATGCAGTTCAACAGTCTGTCAGTGCAGTGACCTTGTATTATTATAGTGTAACATAGTTGTCAAGTATCCAGCTCTCCTGTCACACTGAAATGCAGTTCAACAGTCTGTCAGTGCAGTGACCTTGTATTATTATAGTGTAACATAGTTGTCAAGTATCCAGCTCTCCTGTCACACTGAAATGCAGTTCAACAGTCTGTCAGTGCAGTGACCTTGTATTATTATAGTGTAACATAGTTGTCAAGTATCCAGCTCTCCTGTCACACTGAAATGCAGTTCAACAGTCTGTCAGTGCAGTGACCTTGTATTATTATAGTGTAACATAGTTGTCAAGTATCCAGCTCTCCTGTCACACTGAAATGCAGTTCAACAGTCTGTCAGTGCAGTGACCTTGTATTATTATAGTGTAACATAGTTGTCAAGTATCCAGCTCTCCTGTCACACTGAAATGCAGTTCAACAGTCTGTCAGTGCAGTGACCTTGTATTATTATAGTGTAACATAGTTGTCAAGTATCCAGCTCTCCTGTCACACTGAAATGCAGTTCAACAGTCTGTCAGTGCAGTGACCTTGTATTATTATAGTGTAACATAGTTGTCAAGTATCCAGCTCTCCTGTCACACTGAAATGCAGTTCAACAGTCTGTCAGTGCAGTGACCTTGTATTATTATAGTGTAACATAGTTGTCAAGTATCCAGCTCTCCTGTCACACTGAAATGCAGTTCAACAGTCTGTCAGTGCAGTGACCTTGTATTATTATAGTGTAACATAGTTGTCAAGTATCCAGCTCTCCTGTCACACTGAAATGCAGTTCAACAGTCTGTCAGTGCAGTGACCTTGTATTATTATAGTGTAACATAGTTGTCAAGTATCCAGCTCTCCTGTCACACTGAAATGCAGTTCAACAGTCTGTCAGTGCAGTGACCTTGTATTATTATAGTGTAACATAGTTGTCAAGTATCCAGCTCTCCTGTCACACTGAAATGCAGTTCAACAGTCTGTCAGTGCAGTGACCTTGTATTATTATAGTGTAACATAGTTGTCAAGTATCCAGCTCTCCTGTCACACTGAAATGCAGTTCAACAGTCTGTCAGTGCAGTGACCTTGTATTATTATAGTGTAACATAGTTGTCAAGTATCCAGCTCTCCTGTCACACTGAAATGCAGTTCAACAGTCTGTCAGTGCAGTGACCTTGTATTATTATAGTGTAACATAGTTGTCAAGTATCCAGCTCTCCTGTCACACTGAAATGCAGTTCAACAGTCTGTCAGTGCAGTGACCTTGTATTATTATAGTGTAACATAGTTGTCAAGTATCCAGCTCTCCTGTCACACTGAAATGCAGTTCAACAGTCTGTCAGTGCAGTGACCTTGTATTATTATAGTGTAACATAGTTGTCAAGTATCCAGCTCTCCTGTCACACTGAAATGCAGTTCAACAGTCTGTCAGTGCAGTGACCTTGTATTATTATAGTGTAACATAGTTGTCAAGTATCCAGCTCTCCTGTCACACTGAAATGCAGTTCAACAGTCTGTCAGTGCAGTGACCTTGTATTATTATAGTGTAACATAGTTGTCAAGTATCCAGCTCTCCTGTCACACTGAAATGCAGTTCAACAGTCTGTGAGTGCAGTAACCATGTATGTATTTGCCTGATGATGGCTTTGTAAGCCGAAACATGTAGCTAAGTTGATGTAGACCCAGACTGTTTCCTTGTTGTGTTGCTACGGATTCCAATAAAGAATTTTATATAATAACACAACAGGACGCACCCAACGGAAAAAATATCTAAGGGGTGCGGACTACACTACGATGAAAAATTACGTGATCAAAATATCAATAAAAGCGTGTTATTAACCGGAGAACACCTACAGTCTGAATAGATAAACATGTGCCGTTAAACTAATTGCAATATCAGATGCTAGAAAACTAGCTTCAACATTTGTCAAATAAAGAATACTAAATAACGCATAAAGAATCGAATTTACTAATTTTACCAGAAGACACCACATCTAAAAATAAATCTAACAGAAAACTGGAAGAGAACAAGACACTTCAGAAACCAGACAATAAAGTTGCTCCTTTGTTTATCAATTGAAACACTACTCCATGAAGGCGTATGGGGGCGTGGATATATAGATCCACATTTTCTCGACCTCGGCACTAGTTGGAGGTGAGCTGTCAGCTTTACGCCCCGGCCGCTTTACCCCCACGGAAATAATCCCCGGTACCCATTGTATAGGAGGCTGTGTGGATCACAGAACCGGTCTGGACGACGTGGAAAAGAGAAAATTCTTGACCCTACCAGGACCCGAACCTCTACCCTTCGGTCGTCCAGCCCGTAGACAGTCGCTATACCGACTACGCTATCCCGGCTCCTAGAAACCATATAGTACTCATATGTACTCACAATTTCTATAGCTTAAAACTGATGAGCACTGGAATCGTTACGGCACGAAGCAAAATGATATTACCTTATTCCCTTCCAGTTCTACATGTTGTCAAATGACACTTCGAGGCTGACGCTTAAAGCCATATCCCATGAATAACACGCACAAATGTTCAATGCAGACGATTTTTAATCCCTCGAAATGCGGACAAAATCGCAAATGTCCGTGAAATAGTGACACGAGATCGTCGATGGGCTCTCGGAATGATGGCGTACAAACTAAACATCAATAAGGAGACGATTCGTCAAATCCGGCATGAAGAGTCACGGAAGAGGAAGATCAGCACAAAGGCCCACGGATGAGCAGAAGCAACGGAGACAGACGTCATGTCAAGAATTGCTTAATGGCGCCTGCAGAGAGGAGCAAGCTAGGTGTCTCCACCGCCTGAATTTTTAAAACAAAATCGAAATCAAAGATGACTAATACTAAAAATTAAAAGTGTTTTTAAAATTATTCTTGTATCCTGAATTCTCTAGGGCGATCACTATAAAATAGTCTTAAACGGCTTAGAGTTAAAACGTAAAGAAAATTTCCCGGCTGCTCGCTTTGAAAAACTGGCGCCCCGTTTGAAAAACTCCCCTACGCCCCCTTGCCTATATACAGTAAATCCTCGCTAATCCGGACTGATTACGGGGGAGGTGGTGATCCGGATTAAGAGACAATCCGGATTAGTGAATTAAAAGGCAACCCTAAAAGACAAGGAAAACTTAACAACACAAATAAATGGAAAAGTTAATGATATAGGCTGTGCTGATAAAAATAACAAAATATCACTCTAGAGCCTTTATTTAAAAACTACAAAATGACAATACATTTATTCATTGATAGAAGACTCAGAAGATCTACTTATTTTTGAACGTTTTAATGCAAGTTTGAAGAAACTGTCCGAAATTTTGTCTGATCAGACAAGTGACTCGTCTGTCTTCCTAAATATCATGCTTTTTTAAGAATGTACCCAATTGTGAACGACATATTTCGTTTTTCATATATCGATTCGGATTATCGAGAGTTCACTGTATTGCGTTTGTGCATGTTTTCAACTGATGTCACGTGTTACAGTAACAATGTCACCAACTGTGATGTTAGAATGCTGCTGGGACTTAACGGCTGCAGTGCGAACGTGTCAAGGAGATGAATACTGGCCAGCAGAATGATAACGACTGCCGATGCAGGCACCACCGATGAAGTCCTTACTTCGTAACCAAGTCGTTCCATTCTTCAGTTTGAACCAATTCTCTGTTCCTTACAACTGGTACCTGCAACAGAAACACATGCGGCCCGGTAACTTCAGTTACTCTATGAGTCAGGGTACGCCATATTTTGTGTAGGCAACCTTACGGAAAGAAATTTCTCTGTAAGTACGTTCGGTTTTCCCACTGGCGTATGAATACCGGAATGATGTTGAAGATAAATCTAGTAATTTCGTAATAATGACGTAACTATTTACGTCACTGACTGATGATAATCTCAGAGAACTGAGAAAAGCTACGAAAGCCCGAAATCAGAATAGCCCTTGTCTCAGACAGGATTCGAACCGAGTATAACTCAGCCCACATCATCAATGCAACTCCATAGAGCGAAGTCCTTCTTCGTTACATGATAGTCGATCAGAACTCTTCTAGAAATTTACAGATTTACACGAATCCGAATGTTCATAGCAGCCGGCCATTTTACTCTGTCACGAGGTAGGTGGGATACATTTCAATATTATCCGCTCATTTAAGCCTAGATTTACCAAGTGGTCTCTTCCCATCAGATTTTCCGAATGCAATTTTACAAATTGTGACATGACGCCTGAAAACAGGAATATGATCATCTGCTAGGTGGCGATTCACTAAGCACATTGCCATGGCAACGAAGAACAGACCGTTGCTGGACAACGGTTTGGTAATCACGCGTTTCCGTGGCAACGAATAAACACAGAAAAACAGGGGAAGTGGAAGACATGATGATCTGTATTCGGTCCGCATGAAGTTAGCTCGGTCCGAGATTTAGACCTACAGAGCGAGAATTCGAGAGACTAGAGACTCTTCAAGATTTAGACAACAGTCGGAAAGATTCCTTAAACAGACATCGTTTGGAAGGAGTTCAATGTGTGAGCTGTTGTAATCAACTGTATTTGTAATAGAGTCGTCCAATAAATCCAATCATCAAATCTAGAACCCACAATTATTAGTCACGCTACGTGACAATATATTTCTCCTACCTCATGCGTGTTGTATTCCTCGCCTATCCCATCTTGCTTCACTTGATGGTACTAAAAATATGAAGCCCCCCCAGTAAGCGATTCTGTCGTAGAGATGGAAGAGAGAAGTTCTCTGGATTATGATGCCATGTAGACTGGTAGATAGCCGATATTTCGAAGAAACATATTGTTTCTCTTTTCAGGGTCGAAGAGCAAACCAACTAAATAATTAGCAGAATCTTCGTGAATACTTGTTTGACTTACTCTTCGACCGTGAATATGGAGGCAGTAATTTCCCCTGAAACATAAGCAAACTTCTATCCTCCTGCTATTAATTAACACTACAACAGTGAAGGGTCACGGAATGGACGGCCACAGAATTGAGGTTAGATTTCCGGCAGAGGAAATTGATTTTTCTCTTTTCCGCAGCGTCCACACCTGCTCTGGGCCCAACCCAGTCTCCTATCCGGGGGTAAATCGACAGGGGCGTGAATCTGACCGCTCACCTCCATGTACTGCCGACCTTCGCTTTCCTAATCATATTTACTTACTTTCTTACTCATAGAGATGAGACCTTGAGAAGTCGCCAATTTTGCAGCTACTCAAGAATTTCTCAGCATTTTATGGGACCCGAAGGTTCATTACCGTGTTCACAAGAACCCTCAACTGGTCCGTATCCTGAGCCAGATCAATCCAATCCATAAGATCCCATCCTACGTCTTGGTCTTCCATGTCACGCTGTTTCAATTAACTAAGCACAGAGACAACTTCCGGTACATCAAGTCCAAATTTTACAAATTCAGAAAAGAATATATTTTATAATGGTATGTCTTGAAGCAGGTAACATATTGCAAAATAGAGTTGTGCAAAGTTGCTGTAAATGCATCATGTTCGCAAATTCGCGATGAAATCTGTCGTAAAGCCTCTACATTAGCGTCTGATCCTTCCCTCCACTTCCCCTCATGCGCAACGCAGAAGTCAGGTGTAACACAGGCCTGTATGACTGTGTATATGTAAACGTCTATATTTACACAGTCTAGCCCGGAGACCTCAGTCCGTACAGCGACTGGCTACGAGCTGGACTGCCGGGGTTCAATTGCTGTCAAGGGAAAGAGATTTTTCACTACTCCACAACGTCCAGACCAGTTCTTGGGCCCACCCAGCGTCCTATGTATTCTTTATCTGGGGACTAAGACAAGAACGTGAAGCTAATCACTCACTTCCATCTAGAGCTGAGATCAAGAATGAAGGAAATTTACCTCCAGTCCCACATACGTCTTCGTGAAGTGGTGTTTAATTAATTAAACACGTGGAACAATTTACCCTTTTTTCACGTTTAGGACCTCGATATAAGGTGGGTGTTGAGGGATGGCCTCCGTACCAGCATTATAAGTGAAACTGATGTTTATATAATCTTGTATCTAGTCATGAGTTCGACACCTAGACTTACTGACTGACTGACTGACCGCAATGTGACTTTGACAGTTCAGTGCAATGCCGTGGGAGCGATTTGGTTGGTGAGTGAGTTAGTTACAGAACCGCTGCAGTTCAGTCGTTGTGAGCTGTTGCTCTGTGAACCTGGTAGCTGAGGCACGGGGATAGTTCGAGAACCCACAGTAAGGGAAACGGTCCGTCGTTGAAAGCCGTTACCAGGCAACGGCTAGTGAAAACTGTAACAGACTGAGAACACTAGTCTGTGTGTGATAGTGATTTGTAAAGTATAGTCACAAGTTGTGTCTTAACGTAGTCAATGAATCCAATTAGCATTCCAAATCCCGTCTAAAGTCACTCATTTTTTTTTCTGTGGCGCTACAGCCCCAATTTGGGCCTAGGACTACCTCCATGAAACTCTCCGTTTCACTTCGGTTTACTAGATCTTACACATTCGACAGGACTCCTTGGGCGAGTGAACAGCTGGTCGCAAGGCCTCTACCTGTAGACAAACACAGAAAAACGCACACAAACATCCATGCCCTGAGTGGGATTCGAACCCACGATCCCGGCTTCCGAGCGAGTGAAGACAGTGCATGCCTTAGAACGCTCGGCTACCGTGACCGGCAAAGTCACTCATACACGTGATAATAATTATGTACCGACTGATGTCCGTGCATGAAATATGAGATACATTTCAGACTGTGATTGAAGGTGTGAAAAGGGTGCTCGTTAAATGCTGCTGTCCGAACAAAACAGTCCCAAGTTTACGGAAATCAGAAGCATGCAAACCTCTTCATAGCGGTCTGTGGCATTACCCTCTGCACCTGCGCACTACAGAAGGGGACGTTTCAGTAGTCTTACAATGTAGCTGAAACATGTCACAAAATCTGTACGGCATCAAACACATGTACTGGGGGACATGACACAATCTTCTGTATATCCCAATGCGCAGTATAACGAAGCCTTGCTGTACAGAATTCTCATGAAATTGTTCAACACACCCCTACACTTTCCTTCAGTAATTAAATTTAGTCATGAACGTTCCACCTTTCAACATAAAAAGTAAAGTTTTCCCTGTGCTTAACAAATTAAGCTCCACGCCATGAAGGCGTATGGTGGAGTGGATGTATAGATCCACATTTTCTTGGCCTCGGCACTAGCTGTAGGTGAGTGGTCAGCTTCACGACCCGCCCGCTTTATTCCCGGAGAAAGAGCTCCAGGTACACATTGGATAGGAAGTTGGGTTGGCTCTAGATCCGGTCTGGAAGACGTGGAAAAAAATCTTGATCCTACCGGGACTCGAAGTCCGACCCCTCGGTCTTACAGTCCGTAACCAGTCGCTATTGCGACTACGTTATCCCGGATCCTACATTTCAACGTCCTGAAAATTAATCTATAATTCCAGGGTGAATATAATTTTATTGCAATCAGATCTACCAGTATAGCGAATCGTTATAATTGCTCGTCGAATTTCGGCAACGGATTTTTTTTTCTTCAGATGAATCCATCTGTTCTTCTTACGATAAAATACAAAATATAACAAGAATACAGTTTGAACAGAGTTACTCTGGGATTATTGGAGGCCATATATTTGTTAAATATACTGCCTCTATCTTCAGGGAAAAAGAAGGTAAAGACTGTACTTTCTTCTGAAAAGTTTCTACTCTCCTGCCAAATTTTATAAGACAAAAAATGAAACTTCATTACTTTGAAAACTTCCTATTTTGTGAAGGTGAACCTGGTCTGTGTCCATATAGAAATCAATTTTTGCATGTTATTATTAACGAATAATGACCATGAAATCTTTCATAATCTAAAGGCTTATTTGCTAGTTTCATTATAAACAATTTTAATTAGTTTAATTAACTTCATATAATTTATTAATGAAACCCTTCGCCGTCACCAATTATGATTCCATTACATGAAACTTTTAGAAATTATTGATTGGTATGAAACACGGGGCAAGTTCGGGTACAGTTTTGTGTTAGACAGGACTCCTTTGGTGCGTAATAGCTGCACTCTTCAAAGTAACACTCAGCATGTTTTATGATGCAGTCTAAATTATAAACGGATATTCTCTGCCGGGTGTTAATCCACTTTTTCGCTGAATAATTCAGCAACTAATGCCAATTTCGGGTGAGTAACATTTCAATAGAAATTCCTCAGCTGTCCTTGATACGCTGATGAACATAAGCCTACGTTAACCGTGAACGGACAGAGCTGAGAAGGGTGGCTCAGTCGGTAAGGCTTCTGATTGGTGCCTTTGGTCCATCCGTTTTCATAAGCGATATCGCAATAGGCCACAGAGCTTGGGGTGTGACCTCACAGTTCCCTAATTTTGTTTCCCACCGTTCCAGTGTCTTTCTACGGGTCATTCGTCTGATGGTTTTGGCGACTCAATTGAGTGCCGTTTTACATGCTGGATCCCGAGTTACTTGCCACAGTTTCCTCAACCTCCGCTTATGTTTCAGCAAACTTTCCAGACCAGGCATGTCCTTATTAAGGTCCGAGAGTGTAATTTTGCTTGTCGATAGCCTATGCGCAGACGCTACAGAGGCAGTAAAGTCGCGGGTCGCTTTATCGGCTTCTTCCTCCGAGTTAATTTGGATTCTAGGTGAAATTAATTCAGACGCCGAG